TACTGGTTGTTAACAAACACCCTACTGCATCGATATTATAGATTATATAATAATAATAACAACAAAAACAAGAAAAAACAAATGAAAATTTAATATATACATATATATTTCTTTTCCCCATAAATCAATAAGAGTGAAATATTTAAGTACTTGCGTCAATTATATGTATACATATACTATACATTCTATTGTATCGAATATGTCATAGTAACACGTTTTTCTGAAGTTTGTGCAGATTGTGTCTTCGTCGCACTTTATGTTTCCATGGTTCCATGTATGTTTGTTAACTTGTATGATTAAATGTACTGAAAAAAAGATAAGATTACAACAAAAACCCTTCATTTTATCTGTATCATAACTTACATCAGAAACGTATATATCACATATATGATATATACGTCTCCGCTTACATTAATATATTGGCCTGCTGTACATCAGAGCTTGCCACAATAGGATTTTTTTACAACTATGGGTAGATTTCATTTTGAAAAAATACAATTAATAAAAGAGAATTAAAACAAGATATTTCCACTCGTATTTATTTTTTCTGAATCACGTATCGGGAAATATTCCAAGATGTGATAATATGACTGTGTGAAAATTCTTTAAACATATCAACTCATAAAGACTCAAAATTTGATTTTAGAATTGTGCTTCTTCTCAATCCCAAAGTACATGAACAATGATTGCATTTTCAGTTTTACAATGGAAACGAAATGGGCTATCATCCAGACCACTCTTATATCAGTATGCGTTAGTTGTCAAAATGTGTTGATTAATTCTAAATTGAAGTCTTTGTACCTTCTACTATTATGAATGGTGCTATATATATTTGTCTCCATTTATCTTTGTCAAATTTAAATATTTCCCTCTATTTTCCCTTCCAGTATATATGGAATCGTTGTAGTAAAGACCATTACAAAAAACTTTTATTCCGTTTTTATTCCTGATAAATAATTCTAAATTGATTGGGACTTATGAGTGACTTTCACATTTGAGATATCTTCATGCAAAAGCACTTTTTTATGGAGTCAATGACCCCTTGATAGGTAAGAAAATGTATGTATGTTGGATTTCTGTGAAAATCCATAAAAATCCACTACCACGATCTTTGATAAAATCATTTACTATGATTACACCTTTCCTGTACCACTCACTAAAATATATATTCTTGTTTTCACTCAATATTTGTCCATTATGCCGGATGGGTATTTTAGAAATGTCTTTATTTGTACATTACATGCTCGTGCCTCTTTTTCACTGAGAAAAATATCTTTGAAAGAATTTAATAATTTGATCCCTGTGACTTTGAACGTCGGTGCAATTCATTCTCTTGAACGGATGCTGCATACTTGCATACTTTGGGCTCAATACCAATACCCTGTGCCTTTTGGTTATTGAGAAAAAAAATGTTTAAAGATTTTAAAGCATTTGACTCGAGAGACCTTGAGCGTTGGCATGCAAGGTCATTCATTTCAATAACCTTGGTAGCCTCGATCCTTGCATGCCACATACCCAGTGCGCTATATCATTGGGCTATTTAGAAGACGACGAGGAGTTTTAATTGGGACACCTGAGCTACAAATCAAGAACTTCCTCAGCCATTTCAGCTCTTGTATCGTCTTATCCCAACTGATTGTAACATGTATAAATAAAACGCCACAAATTTTGTTCCTTATTCATAATTTATTATTATGATCAGTAAAAAAAATCCTATAATTTCTACAAAATACGCTTTTGCAGTTTTGACTTGCCATAGGTTGGCATACTTCGTGCATATTGTCCTTGTGTTGATAAATATATGGCTTTATATAATGTGATTTTCACACGAAATGTGCTGATTTTTTTTTCAAATTCATCCAGTCTTTTATCATAATACAAACCGGAAAAAGAGGAAATTGTCACACAATACAAGTATGACATTTGTGTTCAAAAGCGCCATATAATCTGGATATGAAGTCACTTGATTTATCACACGGCCTTGACCTTCCTCCTACTCGTCCTTGATCTTGAAGTAATATTGTTTGTCGGGCTTACAGTTACTCTCGCAGGCAATGTTTCGGCGGTCACAGAAGTCGGAGCAGTAGTACCAGCTGGTGAATGTTGTCTGCATCTGACACCGGAAGGTACAATGTTCCATCATCTTGATACACCAATCACAGGTCACTGTACTCCACCTGGATCCATCCACCGCTGCCATAGCAACCAGGACAAACAGTACCGGAAGAATTAGTTTATTCTGTAAAAGAAAAGGCCATTCATAATTTGTGACTATCCATCAAAGAAGGAACATGGGTGAAACATATTTCATCAGATATTTTCAAGCTGATCCTACTCCAGTATGTATCAACATTTTTTTTTTATTAGGCTCATGACAATAAAATGTAGACATCATTCTTGTTTCATATAAAATGATAATATAAAAGTGTTAGCACGAGAGGACATAATACCGCATACTGTTGGTATTATTTGCGGGGACTTAATTTCGCTATATTCGCAAATACTCGCGAAATTAAATACACTGCGGACATATCTACAGTAATGGAAATTTCAGAGAGTATGCGACGCCTGATGCATGACCACGTGTTCATAGACAAGCGTGAAGTTTCATACCTGTGGACTAGCCCAATCTTGGACAACCGCGAAATATTATGCCCGCGAAATAAAACAGTATATAATACGACCCAAGTAAGATTCACTTACCATTTTAGTGTATTTCGCGCATCTTTTTAAACATTCTGATTCTTTCGTGACTTTAACCAAACCTCGTGAGATTTAAACGTTATTTCTTTACTGGACGCAGGTGCACTTTGTCGCGTGATCACTTGGATTGGATCTATATATTACTACTCAAAACTTGCATTTCGGTCCAGGAATTCGATTGACCGAGGTGTCTTATATTTAATTGTTACTTTCCAACCACAAATAAAAGTATTTATGCAAAGGAAAATCGATAAACCTTCATTACTGAAGTTTCTTCTTGTTGAACTTTATTCTCTATCAATCGTGTTCTTGTATCGTTTGAGATATATACATCAATTATTTTCTTTCAAAATGATAATAGAATTTCCATGAAAAGAATCAAAAGCTTTGTGAAATTGGCATTCCTTAAAGCAATTTGATAATATTACAGCAAGATGTACGCCTGTTAAAATGTTTTTTTTAAAATGCTCCCATCCTCATTAATTCAATGCGTGTGTTTATCACACTTAAATTCATTATACATATTCATGAAAGCAGCCATCCCATTATCTCTGTCTCATTCCTTATACGTAATGGAGCGTGCAGCCCAGATAACCCTTACGTATATCACGTATGTACCTAACTTGGACCTTTGACCGACTTTGAGAAAGAACACATGGTATCAGAAACACATTTAATTCTTGCCAACGTCCGGTAGTGGAGTGCAATTACTTACTCGTATTTTGTGCAAAATTGCACAAAATATATATGGACAGTCCTGTTTTACAAACACACACAACGAAGATCGATCACTTCACTGCAATACAATTCATATATATGACGTTAACTTTAGTTCCATATTTATTGGGTTATCATCAGAACACGCACATTTAAAAAACCAGGAGTTTTTTTTTTACCTTTTACTTCGTCTCATTTGTTTATCATTTGAATAATGTAGTTTTTTTTTCTTGTCATGACAAAAAGATTCAACACTCTTGCATCACGAACTATAAACAGTCCCATTTTGGTATACTTCAATTTTCCGTCTCAAATTATTTGAGAAATCTTTTTTAAAGATATGGTTTTCCTCTGAGTCGGTATTACTTTGGTTTGTCTATTTCTTGGTGAAACGGATAGCACTGTTATTATCACAGATTTAGGTATTGAGATAAAAAAAAATGGACAAATAAGAGACAGCGCTACAGACATATCAGTTCTATGTTAATATAGAACAGGCTCGTAAGAAATGCAATAATTTACGTTCACGAAAGTTATTTTACTTTTAAAATTAATTTCTTTTATCCTATTGATTGGAAGAACCATTGATCAGTAATTTGGGAATGGCCACAAAACCCTGAATATCATATTATATACTTAAAATCTCGGGAACCGTATTGTACTGAGAAAAACAAGCTATTATCTCTCTATCTCTCTTATACATTTCCCTTCACATGTTAATTCCAATATATAAAATTTCAACAAATCATTATTTCCACTCAACATATATACTCACCATTTTTCTGTGACGTGTTGGTTGGTCTGCAAATGTATAACGAGTGTTTTGCTATATACCTCCCGACTCAAACCTCCCCTTCCCGACTTTCTTCTCTTCTCTATCACTGGAGTAATTGAAAACATGGCCCTCTGCCTATTACTTCAAATGGACCAAACTATTCAGAACATGAAGTTCAGCTATCGTTAGGTTCCATTTAAAATTTGTTTTGCTTCATCTTATCTGAATCTGTCTAAGGTTATCTACAGATGATTAAAATCACACAAATGTTGTCTAGAATTACATGATACGTACAGTGTATGTAGACAGTTTTAACTATTGGAATTCTTTACGATTGGAGATAATTATCATAACCTATAACATACACCCTTAAACGATTTAATATCTGTTCGGACCGTTTGAATCGCTTACGCGAAAGTGACCTTAGATTCTAGCTGGCACAATGTATTTGGGTTTCTGTCGACAATGGGACACATAAAAATGTGCGTTACAGTTGTGCATATATTGTTAAACATATATGTACTTAACATTTAAAGTCAAAAGACGTGTTAGTCTAAAATATGTTTATGTTTCCAGTAATCGATCTTTTTAAAGCGTTCCGGAAAATTATGATGTTTTTGATGATATCGCTTCACCGACTCCAGACTAATTTATACGAAATAAGTTTAACATTAAGTGTTCAAAACAGGATTTGATCTGTCAAATATATCAAGACATGGAAAACATTATATTGATGGTGTCTTACAGAGTCCGGATTAGGTTGTCGTTCGACACGAAAACTAGAAACCCCACAAGATGTCTGCGCCCAGTCGTCAACCATGGCGCAGATACCGTTGCCAAATATCTCACAAATGTCAAGTTCTGAATCACCGATAACTTCTGAAATTCAACAATGTGACACCTCACAAATTTTCGCTGAGCGTATATCCCCGGCAGATATTACTTACGATGATTTTTTCCAGCAATATCTGCTACAAAATCGACCATGCATATTTTCGTCAGAGTTAACACAAGGATGGTTCAGCAGACGTGATTGGGTTGATAAAGCGACAGGGAAGCCCGATTTGACATTTTTAAAGGAACAATTTGGTACGTTACTCAGTAATACGTGAGGAAACCGACCAATACATTTTGTGAAGTTGTCATTCAATGTGATCTTAGCAATTACTTTATTTCTAAGTGTGATATGAAGTTGGACGTGTTTAAAGATGTACTCCTCTGAGAATTCAAAAAAAAAAAAAAACAGTATAAATTTTTTTTCAGATGATGAATTTTTTGAAAGATTTGATCTTAGAAAGTAGAATAAAAGCAAAAAATCGGTATGTGATGCTCTACTTTTCCTAGTACAAGCGTCAGAATATATATAACAGGAACTAATTCATTATCATATATTGTTCCTTTATTTTTCCTGAATAAAAGACATCCCTGCCATTTCCGCGGCAACCTTTTTTAAGCAATATTTTTTGTCCTACATTACAAGGTCAGGGCATGATACTTAGATATTAAGAAAAAATAATATGAAAACCACTAATTTTTCATTTACTTTGATTAGCCTTTATCTTAATAGTAACAAAAACAAAAAAAAAAAAACCTAGAAAGTATGTCACAATGTCCTAAATCCTTTAATTGACTATGTTCTAGTATTTGGAACTAATTTTATATTGAATTATATCTTACTTCCAGTCAAAATATCAGAGAAGTGCATCTTTAACGCTTGTTTGTATATACTGTGGTGATGTGTTGTATCCTTGTTACTTTGTATTGACCAAAATTTAGCCTAGATGGCATTGTCCATGAAGCAGAAGATGTTTACCCTTCCAGAACACCTGGTCTTACCCTAGTATATTTTTCAGGGATTTCCTTGTATGTTTCTCATTGTTAGCTCACATTTTGACCAAAGTTGACATGGATCATCAGTAGGAAACAGGGATATGAATTTATGAATATTTTAGTAGCCCCACCCCAGGGCCAAATAAGTAAAAAAAATTGGATCATCTTTGAAAATCTTCTCGACTTCTACAAGCAGAATGTATTGGCACATTTAAATGTAAGCACCAGTTAGTCCTATTTAGAATTTATGAAATTTATGCTACTGTGGTCGAGTTGTTAAGTGATAGGGCAGGGTCAATAGTGTACACTGATACATGTTATGCAAATATGTATTTATACAATTTAATCTTCTTCTCCAAAACTGCTGTGCCAATTTTGAACTAACTTGACATGGATCATCAGTAGGACATTGGGATCTGAATTTTTTTAATTGATGCAGGATGTCCCCAGGGGCCTGAGGGGCCAAATAAGTTATAAACAAGGTAATTCTTTATTTTTACAAGCAGAAGAAAGTGATAGTATATTGAATTATAAAAATCAATTCATCATCTTTTGAATTTATGGATCTAATGTCCCTTGGGTCAAGCGGTCAAATGGAAGGGCAAGGTCATTATTGCTTTATGTAACTACACGATATCTAACAAAATATTAAGATCCCCACCCCATAACCATATATAGTATTGATAGACATCAAATGACAAACACCATTATGATATTAGAGTTGGCCCCGGGGTCTGACCTACCCCTATGGACTAGGTTTCTGGGTTATATCATTGAAACTGTTAAGATCCCCACCCCATAACCATATAAAGTATTGCCAGGCATCAAAAGACAAACACAATCATAATATTATAAGTGCTTTGGGGTCTGGCCTCCACACCTTGGGACTTGGTATCTTGGTTATATCCTTGAAACAATTGGAATCCCCACCCCAAAATCATATATAGCATGGAGTGATACATTCATGATGTAAAAACTGGCTCTTGGGTGTAGCTCCATCCTTCTCTACATAATTTCTCCGTTAACTCATTGGTCTTACCAAACCAAAGAAGTTAAGTGAGTCTGACTGAGCTGTAATTGGGAAATATTTGAAATACCAAAACTCTAAGCATGTTACCATTGTTGGGCTTTAAGATTCAGGCGAGCGATACAGGCCCTACAGACCTTTTGTTTATATCTTGCACTGGTTTCATCAAATTTTCAGTTTGAATGAAGTTTAAGATTCTGTTGATAGTTTCTTTCTCCTCGCTCCCCATTACAGGCCTGCAGGCTATTTTTCAATTTATGATTTTTGTTTTCTTTTCTAGAGACATATCTAACTCTTAAGGTTAACATTGCAAAAATGACTTTGTTATTTTATTTTGAACTTAACATGTTGAGAAAATAGTACTTAAGATTTGATAAAATACAAGCATTTTGGCCAATATCCCAACCAATATATATGGGTAAGAAATTCTTAACAAAACACTGATCAGATAATCAAAAACGGCCCTTCAAACCTCTTACTCTGGAGTTTTTTGGCAGGAGATTTTAAATACCGCTACATGTTAAACTTTGTCCTCACTTATTTGCTCTGCAAGGAATTAAACCTGTGACTTTTTGTGTGATAACTCATGGCCCTACCAACTGAGATGAAGCAGCTTCATCAGTTGAGTGACAGAGACTGCATTTAACAGTAAATATAAGCTACACCAACCTACTTCTTTAGCATTGGTCCCTCTGTTTTTCAAGACTAAGTCTAACGTATGGTATTTTGTTAGACAAAATGTTAGGAGTGGTCGGCTGTTACTGAATAAAAGAAATATGAATAACACTAAATATTATTGGGTATGTTGTTAAAACGAGTTGAATTGCCAGATTTAATACTGGCTGATTAAGAAGTTTGCTTATCCATCTAAGTCCATTGGCCATTCCTATTCTATTTTCCCTAGGTGATGCTGTTACTCCTGTAGCTGATTGTGGACAGAAGAAGTTCAGTAGCCATTGTAAGGAGGAAATGATGATGAGCGAGTTTCTGGATTACTGGAAACGTTACATCTCCGAAGGTTATCCATGCTCACAGAAATGTCTTTATCTTAAAGACTGGCATTTCACAAAGTACGAAAATACTTACATAGTTAACAGTTGTAAGGTTTCCTGGTCTGATATTTCATAGTTAGTCCATACATAAAGCCATAACAGTTATTTTCGGAGGTTTTTGATCTACATAGTTAACACTGTGCAGTTATTAGGTTTCCTGGTCTGATATTTCATAGTTAGTCCATACATAAAGCCATAACAGTTATTTTCGGAGGTTTTTGATCTACATAGTTAACACTGTGCAGTTATTAGGTTTCCTTGTCTGATATTTCGTAGTCAGTCCATACATACAGCCATAAATGTCATTTTCTCGGAGGTTTTTGATTTACTGTAAAGATGTTAACAGTTATCTTGTATTGTGTTATCTCGCCCGTGATAGATATGCTTTTTGTCATAACTGCTCAGAAAAATAATCCAGCAACTAGGTATTCTCTTAAATATTCACCGAATATATTGACATTTTCTTCAGGGCATTTCCATCTTACAGCGCTTATTCGACTCCAGAATACTTTCTGTCAGATTGGATGAATGAATTCTGGGATAGCCGTGCTGATACTGATGATGATTATCGTTTTGTCTATATGGGACCGAAGGGAAGCTGGTAAGCAATGTGGGGTTGTTGGTGATGTTATCGAAACATTCAATGTTATACAAGTTGTGATATGATTAGGGGATAGAATGCTTGTTTTTATGTATAAACTGGAGATTAGACCATGATTTTTTAACATGAGATGAAGTCAGGTTCATTAAAACAAGCTTACTAGCTCATTCCAAAATAATTTGATTCAAAAACTGCAAAAGCAAGGTAGTTATTGCAGTATCAACGAAATTCAAAATAAACTATATTTAGTTTACAACAATTGTAAACAAGCTTTAAGCTTATAACAATCGCTCTTGTTGGCCCAGATCAAAGCACACACAGGTCTTACTGTGGAAGGAAACCAAAGTACCCAGGGGAAACCAACGTGGTCGGGCAGGTGACCCTTACCTTTTCATGTCCATTCTGAGAATCAAATTCTGAACAGCAAGGCGAGTGCGTTACCACTGCGCCATCCAACAACCCATTGACCACCTGACCACTCACTCTACCTATTGATCATCTTTGCTATTTTGGCATCAGTTAATTGGTTACAATTGTCTTTCGATTGATTTTAATTATTGGCCATTCACTAATATTAAGTAATGGAAGATTATATATAACATGAAAGTTCCGACTTCCAAACCAGCTCACAAACCCCTGGGTCTAAATGACACTACTTCGTATAATAATTGTTATGTATTATATTTTTGTTGAGTTGTTCCTCCGTGGGCTGGTGTGTATCAGGATTCCTGAAAAATTCGAAATAGAAATATATTGTATGATAGTATCTGTATCAATTTAATTTACAACAAATTATTTATTTAACATCTAAGTTTATACAAAACTACAGTTTCAAAGAAATATAAAGCAATATTTGTATCACCTTCAGGACACCATTGCATGCTGATGTGTTCAGGTCTTTCAGTTGGTCAGCTAACATCTGTGGAAGAAAACACTGGATTTTCCTTGCTCCAGGTAAAAACCAGAATTATACATCACTTAAATGTTACACTCTGAAATCAGATTAACAGATAAAAGTACTATAACTCTGAGAATTTAGATTAAATCACTTGAAATTTATAAAATCTGCTTAACATAACATTATTAATATATTGTGGATGTATCTTGCATGTCAAATGTTCAGTGTTTGTATCGTAAAACATTTTCTGGAGTATTAGCTGCTGTGTGGAATACTGACAGCTTTTCAAGTGAAGTATACCAGTATGTTAAATGCTTAAAAAAAATTGACGTCAGATTGCAAATGAATGAATATAAAATTATAATGTAAATGTTTCATTTTCTAGGAGAAGAGGAGAAATATAGAGACAAGTTTGGTAACCTTGTATATGACATCAACTCAGATGAACTTAACGATCCAAAAAAATACCCATGCTTTAGCCAATCAACAGCCAGGATAGAGGTCATTCAGGAACCTGGAGAGGTCATCTTTGTTCCTAGTGGATGGCATCACCAAGTGCACAATCTTGTAAGTCTCCAAAACTCCACTTTGGTTACAATAGAAACTGTGTCGTATCTCCATGGCAACAATTGTGTCACCATAGCAACAGTATTGATTTCACCATGACAGCAAAATAAGTAAAACATCTACATTGGAACAATATTGTTTTACCATAGCAATTGTTTAATTAACAATAATTTTTTTTTGCACCTGCAATTGCAGACTGATATTTGTACTACAGCTACGAGTAATAAATCCTTTCAGATTCCCACAAGGAAAGGTAAAACCTGCTATTATGAATGTGCATTAGACACAAACATTATATTATGACAGCATTTCGGATATTAGCAGCACTCATTGAAAGATATTATACATTAGATTGAGTCTGTGAAAATAATAAAACATATACTGGTAACATGAAACTGGGTATTGCTTTTGCTTGCAGTGTAGGAGAACATAACGTTCATTGTTTCATTGTGTCAAAATCATTTTTCCATATAAAATTTTTTATTTCAATTTCAGGAAGATACAATCTCCATTAATCATAATTGGATGAATGGTTGTAATATCTATAGATGTTGGAAATTTCTCAAACAGGAGTTGTGTAATGTACAGCGGGAAATCTCCGACTGTCAGGGCATGGATGGATGGCATGAACAGTGTCAGGTACAAACCTCTTCAGTAAAAACTGTCTTCAGTGTGTACTGGTCTATAACAACCCCTTCAAAACAGCTGTAAAATTCAGTGTAACAGAGGTCATTATATATTTCAGGATCCCTGGCTTACTAGTCTGATGCTCAACCAATCGAGCTAAAGAGAAGTTCTCTCTAGCCGAGTGGTATATTGCGGCTAGTATTTTACCAGGGTTACATACTCCCTCTCCAGGAAATAAGTCGCCCTTGAGTTACTAGGGGTTACAGCGATGGTGGTTGGGCATGGCTAAGTACTATTCCATGGTCCCTATATGGGCACCAATATAACAGAGGTCATTATTTATTTCAATGCCTCTGCTAGGAATCGAACTCGGGACCCCTGGCTTACTAGTCTGACGCTCAACCAATCGAGCTAAAGAGAAGTTCTCTCTAGCCGAGTGGTATATTGCGGCTAGTATTTTACCAGGGTTACATACTCCCTCTCCAGGAAATAAGTCGCCCTTGAGTTACTAGGGGTTACAGCGATGGTGGTTGGGCATGGCTAAGTACTATTCCATGGTCCCTATATGGGCACCAATATAACAGAGGTCATTATTTATTTCAATGCCTCTGCTAGGAATCGAACTCGGGACCCCTGGCTTACTAGTCTGACGCTCAACCAATTGAGCTAAAGAGAAGTTCTCTCTAGCCGAGTGGTATATTGCGGCTAGTATTTTACCAGGGTTACATCAGAGAAAACTATCTAAAAGTTTACATATCCAAAATTTTATCCTTGAAATTGAAATATGACATCATTATGAATAAGAGAACATCTGTTTTCTCAAGGTAAGTCTTTATTTGTGTGTAGAAACAAAAAATGTTTTTAAGAAGTTTACAACAGTTTCAAAGAAAAATTCCAGGTGCCTCTGTTTTCAAATTTCTGTCTGTAAATATGTTGATTTTACACAACTATTATGAATACATATATTTTATGGTAATAACTTTGTAAGCATATGTGTGGATTAGCAATCGATAATTGAATTGTGAATTATTTCTATAATAGCTCATTAATTCTTGAACTGCTATGTTATTGGGAAAGAACACACGAAAAGCCAAAAATATATTTTTCAAACAATTAGAACTTATATTTTTTTAAAAATGAGAACGAAATGAATTTTCAATGTATTCTGAGCGATGTTGCTTTCTCTGTTTTCAGTTGATTCTGAAAGCCAGCAGTGGAATACATTACTCGGAGTTTTACCAGTATTTGGTTTCTATAGCAACACACAGAATGGCTTTTCTGCAGCAGGATCAGAAATGTGATGAGGCAAATAATCAGCAGTGCCCAAGAACAGATCACTCTTGTAAACTTGAATCTGAAGGAGTAGATCACTCGGGTGTTTATACCAAACAATCTCATTATAGATCAGATCCTGTTGACTGTAAATCAAAAGGGCAGTGTAAATTAGAAGAAAATACAAAGGATATTATTTACAATGAAAAGATGAAAGGGTGTTCTCTATCAACCGAGGAAGCTGTCGCGACTTTCAAAGAAAATCAATTTGATGTGTGTACAAGTGATAGAAATAATATCTCAAGTCCATCTGAAAAGTCTGAAGTGCTTACAGTTCAGAATTTGCATCAAAACAACCTTGACATGTGTCAAAGGGATACGGAAATTGACACATGTCAAAGTGATAAACTGTTTGACACATGTCAAAAAGATACCAATAACGGTGTATGCAAAAACATAAGTGATACCTATAGCTGTAATGTAAACATTGTGCCGATGAACACTTCTAACATGTCTAAGCAAAAAATAAACTCTCGCAAGGGCTCAGTGTATCATGCAATCTTTGATCTGATCCAGGTCAAACAGACTCTTGTTGACATGTTAAACACTGACGAACACAAGCTGGTAGTAACAGACTCTAAAGCTGATTCTGTGATAGAAAAGATAAACAGTTATGTCTGGTGAGGAAGCAGATGGACAAGGCATAGCAGCAACAATAGTTAAATTTATTTATGGAAACACAGGAGGTTCCACTGTTTTCATCAGTCCCAGTCATAAGCTTTTTATTATGTCATGTACGTGTATCATTATGCCTACACGTGACATTCATTTTAATTGAGGAGGCAAATTATTTCAGGATGTGTTATGAAATACTGACACAAGCTTGTGTGCTTTAATAAATGTTAACTTGTATCTGTTTATTTAATTCATAAATAAAAAAAATTGAAATATACGTCTTCAGTAATATCATTCTACGAACCAACAAACCATTACCAAGAGATAGGTTTAAATCTTGGGACTAACCAATCTCAGCAGTTTCACCAACCTCTAGACATCATTATCTGGTTAAAGTCCTTCTAAATCAAGGGTGACAGAGCCTTAAAGGGTGTAGTTATCACAAAAGTATGTATTTAGATGATGATATATTTTTATATTTGAAAATCATTTTAAATTAGTCCAAAAACTGTATTGGAAAATTTAAAATTCACAGGAAATATGTAATTATAGCATTTTATATGATTTGAGCAGTTCATGATATAACTAATATCAGACTGACATTATGGAATCGGAAGAATTGGTGACACTGCTGAAGTCTTATTGATTTCGTCTGGGTCATTATGTCCTACAGATATGTTGTTATTGTTGTAAGGGAATTTGACCATGTTAAGTGAACATGAAATTCAATAGATTGGTTTCTTCATGCATATCAAGCACTGTAGGTTTATCCCATAATATAGTGATTGGAACTACATATATGGAAATCCCATCATCTTAATCAAAATACCGTCCGGTGACTCACCTGATTTGACAGTTTTAATGAATTTACAATTATTGACCGAACAATAGGTCTGCAGATGGTTGGATTGCGGAACTTTCTTCATGGCATAAGTTTATCTTGGTTCAATAGGCAGACTAAGGTAAGTCTAGAACAGAAGTGAGTTGATATAACAATATATAAAGAATACTAGAGACATCCATTCCCCCTGGAGATTTACAATACCTGTGGTACCTCCTATCGTTTTAAAACGCCCATTTTTCAAAGGTGTCTATTTTCTGTGGTTACTCATTTCATTCTCATAAGGATTTCTATTCCATTTTACAGGCTTCTATTTCAGTGTTTGATCTGGCTACACATGGCTTTGTTTGTGTGAAGGTATATCAACCTACTTTGCTGAGAATCAATTGAAAAGTATATCATACAATATTAAGTGCCATATACTGCAGGGAAGGAAGTGGATGTTGAGGATATGATCATGTGAATACAATACAGCCACACAGAGACTTGTGATGATACAAGCCAGTAACTTCTCAATGATAGTTGTGTGCATCAAAGTTGCAGGTGCCCTTTATTAATCAAGATGTCTGTCCATTTTCTTGTTTTGGCATTATATCATTATGAAGTTCTGTTCAACCTATTCCATTCAAACCTACTCAATGCTTCTTTGAAGGAAGTGATTTCCCCTGGAGTGATTTTCAGGTCCTGAAATAAGGGTTTTGTCACTGTTGCTAAATTTAGGAAATCTGTTTCTACAAAATTTCTTTGGATCTGTTTAGATAATTACACTCATCCAAGACATTTTCCATTGCTCCTTCAAAGTAAGTTCTGGCTCTCGTCTGATTTTCATATTCAAAGGTCAAGGTCACCATTATTCAAAATATAGCATGGCAGAATGTTACTGATAAATATTTAGTTCTGACCAATTGAAGCATTATTGACAGGTCAAGGTTGTCAAGTCAAAGGTCAAGATAAAATTAGAAATAATTTAATGGCTGATAATTTATGATGCTATGAGGCTTTATTGACTAAAATCAAATAGGAATTTGAACAACAAGATCAAGTTCATTAGGTCAAAGGTCGACATCAACTCGGAACTATTTCACTGGGGAATATTTTGTAAGGACAAAATGTAGCATGATTAGTTGAAAACAAATGATAAGTTACCCAACTATAAGTCAAACTTCATTTATATTTCTATGGCAATAATAACTAAATTAAATTAAATTGAATAACAATTAAAAATTCAATATAAATGTTACATTCAGAGCCTGACAATGTAGGGTATATTGTTTGTGACATCAAGTTTTTTATTCCATTATATATAATTTAGTGTATTTCAATAGTCAAAACACAGATTATGATGAGGTTATTTTCATGACATTTCATGCATTTTGTGGTAATAGGATACAACTCATAACCCCAGGTCCCAATTGTCAATATATAACCACCAGGCCACAATTGTCCACCTATAACCACCAGGATCTAATTGTCAATCTATAACCACCAGGATCTAATTGTCAATCTATAACCACCAGGCCCCAATTGTCCACCTATAACCACCAGGATCTAATTGTCAATCTATAACCACCAGGCCCCAATAGTCAATCTATAACCACCAGGCCCCAATTGTCAATCTATAACCACCAGGCCCCAATTGTCAACCTATAACCACCAGGCCCCAATTGTCAACCTATAACCACCAGGCCCCAAGTGTCAACCTATAACCACCAGGCCCACATTGTCAATATATAACCACCAGGCCACAATTGTCCACCTATTACCACCAGGCCCCAATTGTCAATCTATAACCGCCAGGCCCCAATTGTCAATCTATAACCACCAGGCCCCAATTGTCAATCTATAACCACCAGGCCCCAATTGTCAATCTATGACCACCAGGCCCCAATTGTCAACCTATGACCACCAGGCCCCAATTGTCAACCTATAACCACCAGGCCCACATTGTCAATATATAACCACCAGGCCACAATTGTCCACCTATTACCACCAGGCCCCAATTGTCAATCTATAACCGCCAGGCCCCAATTGTCGATCTATAACCACCAGGCTCCAATTGTCAATCTATAACCACCAGGCCCCAATTGTCAATCTATAACCACCAGACCCCAATTGTCAATCTATAACCACCAGGCTCCAATAGTCAATCTATAACCACCAGGCCCCAATTGTCAACCAATAACCACCAGACTACAATTGTCAATCTATAACCACCAGGCCCCAATTGTCAATCTATAACCACCAGGCTCCAATTGTCAACCAATAACCACCAGACTACAATAACCACCAGGCCCCAATTGTCAATCTATAACCACCAGGCCCCAATTGTCAATCTATAACCACCAGGCTCCAATTGTCAATCTATAACCACCAGGCCCCAATTGTCAATCTATAACCACCAGGCTCCAAATGTCAATCTATAATCACCAGGCCCCAATTGTCCACCTATAACCACCAGGCCCCAAGTGTCAATCTATAACCACCAGGCCCCAATTGTCAATCTATAATCACCAGGCCCCAATTGTCCACCTATAACCACCAGGCCCCAAGTGTCAATCTATAACCACCAGGCTCCTATTGTCAGTCTATAACCACCAGGCCCCAATTGTCCACCTATAACCACCAGGCTCCTATTGTCAGTCTATAACCACCAGGCCCCAATTGTCCACCTATAACCACCAGGCCCCAATTGTCAATCTATAACCACCAGGCCCCAATTGTCAACCAATAACCACCAGAATACAATTGTCAATCTATAACCACCAGGCCCAATTGTCAATCTATAACCACCAGACCCCAATTGTCAATCTATAACCACCAGGCTCCAATTGTCAACCAATAATCACCAGACTACAATTGTCCACCTATTACCACCAGGCCCCAATTGTCAATCTATAACCGCCAGGCCCCAACTGCCGATCTATAACCACCAGGCCCCAATTGTCAATCTATAACCACCAGACCCCAATTGTCAATCTATAACCACCAGGCCCCAATTGTCAACCAATAACCACCAGACTACAATTGTCAATCTATAACCACCAGGCCCCAATTGTCAATCTATAACCACCAGGCCCCAATTGTCAATCTATAACCACCAGACCCCAATTGTCAATCTATAACCACCAGGCCCCAATTGTCAACCAATAACCACCAGACTACAATTGTCAATCTATAACCACCAGGCTCCAATTGTCAATCTATAACCACCAGGCCCCAATTGTCAATCTATAACCACCAGGCTCCAATTGTCAATCTATAACCACCAGGCCCCAATTGTCAATCTATAACCACCAGGCTCCAATTGTCAATCTATAACCACCAGGCCCCAATTGTCAACCAATAACCACCAGACTACAATTGTCAATCTATAACCACCAGGCTCCAATTGTCAATCTATAACCACCAGGCCCCAATTGTCAATCTATAACCACCAGGCTCCAATTGTCAATCTATAACCACCAGGCCCCAATTGTCAATCTATAACCACCAGGCTCCCAATATATAATCACCAGGCCCCAATATAACCACCAGGCCCCAAGTGTCAATCTATAACCACCAGGCTCCTATTGTAGGTCTATAACCACCAGGCCCCAATTGTCCACCTATAACCACCAGGCTCCTATTGTCAATCTATAACCACCAGGCCCCAATAGTCAATCTATAACCACCAGGCCCCAATTGTCAATCTATAACCACCAGGCCCCAATTGTCAACCAATAACCACCAGAATACAATTGTCAATCTATAACCACCAGGCCCAATTGTCAATCTATAACCACCAGACCCCAATTGTCAATCTATAACCACCAGGCTCCAATTGTCAACCAATAACCACCAGACTACAATTGTCCACCTATTATACCACCAGGCCCCAATTTCAATCTATAACCGCCAGGCCCCAACTGCCGATCTATAACCACCAGGCCCCAATTGTCAATCTACAACCACCAGACCCCAATTGTCAATCTATAACCACCAGGCCCCAATTGTCAACCAATAACCACCAGACTACAATTGTCAATCTATAACTACCAGGCCCCAATTGTCAATCTATTAACACCAGGCCCCAATTGTCAATCTATAACCACCAGACCCCAATTGTCAATCTATAACCACCAGGCCCCAATTGTCCCCCACCAGGCCCCAATTGTCAATCTATAACCACCAGGCTCCAATTGTCAATCTATAACCACCAGGCCCCAATTGTCAATCTATAACCACCAGGCTCCAATTGTCAATCTATAACCACCAGGCCCCAATTGTCAATCTATAACCACCAGGCTCCAATTGTCAATCTATAACCACCAGGCCCCAATTGTCAACCAATAACCACCAGACTACAATTGTCAATCTATAACCACCAGGCTCCAATTGTCAATCTATAACCACCAGGCCCCAATTGTCAATCTATAACCACCAGGCCCAATTGTCAA